TTAAAACCCACCTGTTTAGAGTTGCTTATGGCTAAATTAGGGTTAGAGTGCGGGTTTTGATGTCTTTATCTTTAGTTTTCATCTAGTTATTAACTTCTTTTTATTTCTCTTTCACACTGTCTATGTGATTTACATGACTTTGTCCTTTCATTAATGAAATGTAAAGGTTTGCATCTATTCAGTTTATCCATGTTTGAGATTGGCATATAAACCAAAAACATATATAAAAAATTGGGACGGGAAAACATTTTCACAACAGTGCTGCTGAAAATTAAAATGAAGTGTTAGAATTTTAGTGTTAATTTTAGTTTTAAAAGCAAACATATTTAAAGCAGCAGTATGCATTGTATAGGCAGAAATACCAAATATTAAACAGGGAATGCCTGAATTTTGTTAAAACATTACAAGAACATCTGTTACAAGCCCCTCCCCAAGACCACTGTGGGTAAATTCTGGCACTGGGTGCAACACAAAAGAAGAAGTAACCTAAACCGTCGATATCCATAACAAAAGGGTTTATTTACAGTACAGGTAGGAAAAAAACTCAATCACAGGAGCAAACCAAACAAGAAAAACAACACAGGGAAGCTTTGAGCTTCAGGGTCTCCAAGGCCAAAATAATAAACAAAACACCCCCTTCTAACTATGAAATAATAACTTGCTAGAGGTGAAAGTAAAGAAAAATACAAAACCTGAGCTCCCTGGCTAATCATCAAAACAGGAGAAAACAGTTAAACAAAAAAGGCAGAGAACCCCTTCCAGCTTCCACTGTGAAAGAAATAAGGTTTTGGGTTACACACTTGATTTGTCACAAAATGCTCACAGCAACATCAGCCAAGCTTCCACAAACAGCCAGCTTACAGACAAGATCAATACAGATCAGGGCCCAAGGAGAGAGGAAAGGGGCCTGACATCTCTTGTAGGGAGCTTCTTATTGGATGGCTGACGAGCTCCAACACATTCCACCTGTGGCAGCCAGGTAAAACTGAAACACAAAACAAGAGAGCTCTCTAATGAAGAGAGCCCCTAGAGGTCAGTGACCGTAACACCCTCCCCCTTAAAATCCTTCATGAAATGATATTTCATCAACTTACATCATTTGTACTACAGTAAGGTAAACAGCACTAGATCCTGGAAAGTACATCAGCTATCACATCTTCAGCCCCTTTCTTATGTCTGATGTCCAGGTTATATTCCTGGGCCAGCAAAGCCCACCGCATTAACCGCTGGTTGTGGTTATACATACTGTTCGGGAAGACTAATGGGTTATGGTCTGTATAGACCATAACAGAACTTGTTGAACCAACATAAACTTCAAAATGCTGCAAAGCCAGCCAAATGCCTCATTTATGAATAACTCTGATGTCTTCATACCTAAGTTATTGAAGTATTAGTTATAGTGATGCCTTTAAATTAGTCGTATGAAACGACAGACTAGAAGATAATCATTTAACGACTCAAGCATAATTCATCTGCATCAATTCAAACCATTATGGAAATGTAAACACAGCAAATCTGCAGTGAAATAAGAATTTTCTACCTAAACTGACAACGAAATTTGTCAGTGTGTGTTTATAAGCTTTTAAATGTTGTCTTTAAATCTAAAAGCTTATGATCATTCATCCTGTAATGAAATAATACAGAAAAATAAAAGTGTTCCGTTCATTCTGACCTCACCAGAGAAAGTAATGCATCACAATGTAGACACAACCCACACGTCATGGAGGACAACGATTCAACGACAACTAAGTCGTTGGGTGCATCCAAGAGTCCCAAGAGTCATTTTTGTTGTTTCATTTTTCATCTTTGTACTTCGTCAATCAATCAATCAATCAAATTTTATTTGTATAGCACATTTCAGCAGCAAGGCATTTCAAAGTGCTTTACATAATTAAAAAAAACAGCATGTGACGTGACATTGAATAAACAGCAAGAAAGTGAAAGATTTAAAAAAAAAAAAAAAAATTAAAAAAGAAAAAAACATTAAAACCTGCACCCCTTTTAGGACTTCAGTTAAATGTTGTTTAACTGTGATTCTAACCTTCTGGGACTTTAGTCAAAAACGCCATTTGATAAGGACTCCAACCTCTAGGTTTTTAGTTGAAACACCGTCAATTGGGACTCTAACCCTCTGGGCTTCTTTCCCAGAGGGTTAGTCCTTAGACTTTTAGTCAAAACACCGTTTGACAAGGACTCTAAACCTCCAGATTTTTAGTCAAAATCCTATGTAGTGAGTTAATCCTAGATACAGGGCATGTAAAGACCAACTGCAGTCTGGGTTAGACAGAATAAGAACATTATCTGCACATAAACATATTTCTATGTTCTAGTTCCTTAACAGCAATACTAGACATGGTTCTCTGAAATCAGTGAGGTAATCCTCAAATATGAATAAATTTGTCAATATTACAACTACTAAACCCCCAACTGACACAGTCTGCATGCATTTTTCTGCATGAAGTGGTGATTTTCTTTTGCTTTACTTGTTCACTGGAATATGAAATGCCCCGTTCAGTATCATCTGACATGCATCAGTTTTCATATCACTACATACTCCAGCAGATGGCGCTCTCTGATCTCTGTCAAACAAATAATTTGAATACTTCCTCTGTCATGTTGCTTTTCCTTGCAAATTACACTCTTTATTTCACATAAAGCTGAGTACCTGAAGCATTAAATCACACAGACAGACACCTGTTAATACTGCAGGTGGGTTACTGTGCACAAATCGCCTCTTTATTTTTGACATTGGAAATTGTAATAAACAGTGAACAGGCAGAAAGCAGAAAATAGAGTTTATTGTAAAATTTAAATTCATTGTAACTAGAAGCAGGACTATTAAAGCACTTTATAAAAGCTTTATCTTTAGATAGGGAATACTTAAAACTCAAGAATAAAATCAAAAACATTATACATGCAGACTTTTTTTTCAAACAGCCAGTTTCAGTACTTTTTCACAGATCCAGTGTTTAGCAGCATCACATGAAAAATCGTTCCAAGACGCTTTGCCGTCCTTATTGACACATACACAGTCCTCCTCACCCCATCTTCCACTTGTTCCTCCATTATCAGGCTGAGAGCCCAGCCAGTTCCTGTTAAAATTGTGACAAACAGAATTAGACCTTGTTTCATACGTCGCAACAACAGACACAAACATACAGCTGAGATTGTGCTTTAAAGCACAGAAATAAAACTACATGTCTGTGTTTGTCCCTATCATCACTGAATCAAATAATTAATCACTTACTTGAACTCTGGGGAGGTTCCATCAACCCATTTCCAGGAGCCCTCAGTTTCTTTATCATTTAAACCAATCCAAGCTTCCTGCTTGATGAGTGCAGCAAGGAATGTCTGTCAAATAAGGCACAAAACTATGTAACGTGTTTGAAACCTATAGGAATTTATGCCAAATGGAACCTTAAAAGTGTAAATTCAAGCTGAGAAGACTCAAATCAACTCGCCGGCCTCTTCCATTACCACGCCCACGCTTCAATCAACAAGCACCGGCGCTCAGCCACTCCAGCCAATCTCCTCGCAAGAGTTCCTTCAAAAGCACCAACAAAGCCGGGCTCTTCAGCTTTCAGCCGCGCTTTGACCCACCTCCTCCCCATCTCCACCTTCATCCAGATGAGCACCTCCGTGTTCCCTCCTTCCTAGACTTTTCTCCACCACCAGTGTCCGGGCCCAGGGGATAAGACTACCCTGAGCTCCGGCCCTAGCCGATCATCAAATCGCTTGATGATGCTCAGCACGAACGTCTTCAGCCGGGCCTGAGCGCCAAAAAAAAGAACGCAGTCTAATAAATCCTTCTAACTGATGTTTTTTCTCCATGTGAGTTTCTCCAGATTGAAATACTGTCTACAAATAAGTCTATGTGGACCATATGAGCAAAAAAATCAATTATTTCAACAAAAAGAAATGCATTTTTTTCCCCCACATTTTCCCCCTTTTAATTTATTTATTTTTACTCATTTTAATCATTTAAAAATTTATTATACAGACCAAACTGACTGACTTTACGACACAAAATTAGCCTCAGCTTCAGCACCTTTATTTCTTTCTGTTTTTTTGTTGTTTTTTTTACAGTTTATCTTATAAAAACACCAAGCTTCAATGTATTTCATAGGGTTGTCTTGTGATGCACAAACACAAAGTACTGTGAAGTAAAAGGGAAATGATACCTGGTTCTAAGAAGACAAAAAAAAAAAAACAACTGAACAGTTTAGACCCCCTCAACTTCTATGTGATTTAATTGCAGTGGTAAAACATTTAGTAAACAAACAAGGAACACAGCAGACCGGTCGGCGATACACTTGTGTCCTTCTCAGTCTATAATCGTCTAAATCTGGTAGACGTACCTCAAAAGACCTCTAGCTGTAATTGGACCAAACGACTGGCTCTAAAAAGTATCGACTCAGAATACAAACATAGCTACGCTGCACTTTCAGATTTTAGTTGCAAAGAAATGAGCAAACCATGCATCACTTCACTAACACTTCAGTCATGTGCTACTTTGGTTAAGTGTCGATGACACCAACACCCAGAATTACACCCTGACATTTATGCTCTAACAGGACAAAAATATTGAACATTCAAGAGGTGTGAATGCTTGCATTACTTTTTTTTTTCCCTAATAGAAGAGCATATGACGTAACATTAAAGATTTAAGAAACTTAAGGACTTATTTTGCACACAAATAAAATGTATCTGACTAATAAAGAGAACGCAGCACCTTCTCTTCTGCGTTGTTCATCACTAGCAGATCTGCTCCTCTGCGAATGCAGTCCCTCCTGCCTTCATCCCAGGAACCGGCTTCGTTAGAGAAATAGTAACAAGAAACGCCGGGCATTATCCATCCTGTGGGACATGTTGACTCTAAAAGAATAAAAAACAATCAGAGTTTTCTATTGTATCGAGAGGCCTGACAGTCTTTCAATAACACGAATGGCTAAAATTTCATAATATGCTAAAAAAAAAAATCTGTATTTCGTGTCCGTTCTATTTAATACTGACCAAATAAATAGAAAATGTGGTTTTGTCACCTTTCTAAACTTCGACACAGGGAGCTATTAGGACACTGAATAGAAATAGAAAGTTGTTAACTCATAGATGTTTTTAATAGAGCCGACTCTTCTCCGTCATGCAGCTCGGCTGAATGAAGGTGATTCTTAAGGAGTTTGTCAGGTGTTTATATTTCAAAACAGAATCGGATAAAATGCATTTTGCATCCCACACCGGACTTTGTTTGGACCATTTTTCTTTCCCATTCTGGTTTGACTCCGCCATCTTCATTCCTGAGTCACCTGATTTAGAGAAACTCATCCATGCGTTTATCTTCAGCCGCATTGATTACTGCAACAGCGTCTTCACAAGTCTAACTAATAAATCAATCCTCCAGCTGCAGCTGATCGAGAACGCTGCTGCTCGCGTTCTCACCAAAGCCAGGAAGATAGAGCACATAACACCAGTTTCAAAGTCCCTTCACTGGCTCCCTGTAGCTCAGAGAATAGACTTTAAAATACTGTTGTTAGTTTATAAATCACTGAACGGTTTAGCACCACAATACATTAAAGATCTGTTACTGCTGTACCAACCGTCTAGACCCCTCAGATCTTCTGGTTCTGGTTCTGCTCTGCATCCCCAGAACCAGAACCAAGCGAGGAGAAGCAGCATTCAGTTTCTATGCACCACAAATTTGGAACAAACTTCCAGAAAACTGTAAAACAGCTGAAACACTGAGAGCCTTTAAATCTCAACTTAAAACCCACCTGTTTAGAGTTGCTTATGGCTAAATTAGGGTTACAGTGCGGGTTTTGATGTCTTCGATGTTTTTAATGTTTTTATCTTTACTTTTTATCTATTTATGTAAAAGTGGCGAGTGATTGTCATTGCGCGCTCAGTAAAAGCCTGTAAATTCTAGACTCTTAACAGGTAAAAATAATGCCCAAAAATCCGAGTAGGACAGCAAAGTCCTAGCGCAAAAATTCGCGTGACAGGTGGACGGAGCCTGGTGCTGCAAGGAGACCTTGTCCTGTTAGGCAACGGGGCCTGGATAATACCCGTGTTAATCGGACGGCGGAGTCCGGCGACGACAGGCGCTTAAATTCCGTAACAAAAGTACGTTTTTATCTTTTCTTTTTTTTTTAATATTTTCTCTTTCTCTTTCTTACTGTTTATTCAATGTCACATGCTGTTTTTATTTTGTTTTTTAATTATGTAAAGCGAAATGTGCTATGCAAATAAAATTTAATTGATTGATTGAATGATCTGACTCTACTTCAGGGTGACCAGACTATCGGCGATGTCAGTGTTACTTTTGTTACTTTGTGACGAGTCACACTGACATCAGACCACTTTTTCAGGAACGAGTCATCTAACGCATTGCTAATTCAAATCTAGTAATCAGATTAAAGTTTCTTACCCAAATCACCGCGCGTTGCTAATTTCTTTTGGAATTTTATTTTATTTCCTCTACGCGTCTTAGGGGAGTGATCGCCGTTTCTATGTGACAGCATCAGCTGATCGCTGCGACATAAATGTAAACAATGACAAAACAAATCCCAAAATTTGTCTGGCAACCAGGTAGTTTTAGTCAGGCTCTCCCTGTCCATCATTTTCCAGATGACCTGTCCCCATGTGTCTTTGTTAGTGTCAAGGTAATATATCTGCTGTGAGACTACAATACTAAAACCAGGCCCAAGCAGACGTCGATTGGAACTCAATTAGATCTTATAAATCATTAATCGACAATTCCTCTTCGGAAAATTGTTCCCATCACCAATCAGCCTCGGCGTCCAGTACCAGAACACGATCATGAAAGAAGTGAAGCTGTCTGGACGAACCTCGAAGCTTCATCAGCTCTTGAGTAATTGCAGTGAGGTTGGCATTCAGCTGGTTTCTCTCCTCAATCAGAGATGACAACCTCTTATTGTCGTCCTGTTGACACTCGGTCTGATTGCCACTGGCGCTGAGACCTGTTGCCATATCACCTGTGTTATGATCTACAGACAGCAGAATATGTTGCTTTAAAAAAAAAAAAAAACATACATGTAGTAAATTTGAGCACACATAATATTTAAGCTAAAGTCCCACATTATGTCATTCTGGAAGACAGTTTAAGGAAATTAGCACACAACCAGTACAAAGAAAGACATGCAGCAGACCAGGGACTGACTTTGGTATGACATTAACCTCTTTCAAAACAAAAACAAAAAACAAAAAATGAAGCTTCTGCTACTGAGGCGATGCTTTCTGACTTTTTCCAACAAAGTTTTGCAGCATGTCCTTTCAGCTCTCACTTATCAGAAATGTTCAAACTGGAAACAAGCTGTTCTTCCGTTGTAAACTTTCACATCTTAAATAGTTTTCACCACTGAATTGGTGAAATATGCCATTTCAAGAAGTAGTTATTTTGACTAGATTTAATCAAAAGAGGCTGAAGAAATCCAAAAGACAGCAGCAAAAGGTTCATAACTAGGCCAAAGACAGTTGGAGGATAAACCAAAGGCAGTCAGACTCACAGTAGACACCAAGGACGACCAGTCCAGCCAGGAGGGAAACATTAAGGAGCCCAAAAGCAATAATAATACCTAAATAGAGCCTCTTCTCAGAGCTGCTTGAACCTTAGCAAAGATTTAAAAAAAAATACACATGATTCTACTGAAAAATAATGACTAAACACATTTGTTTCTGTGGATTATGTCATACTTACCTGGGTAATTTGGTGCAGGAATTTGGGGAACAGGTTTGACACGTTGAACATTAACATATATATCCTCCATTGCTTGAAAAGGAAGCTGAATATTGTCTTTCCAGCCAGATCTGCAACCAGCAGCCAAACTGAATACTATGAGAGTGTGGTTGGAGCGCTGTGGGACAACATGGTGTTAGAATCAAAGTTTGAGGAAGTAAGTCGCACAGAGTAAAAGTCTGCACTAAAACTTTACCATCGCAGCTCTAAGCTGTTCACCAACAAACGCAGTAGATGTGAAAAAGACACACAAAAAAAAAGATTTTACTGACAAGACCGAAGTGCATCAGCACAAAGAGTGTGTGTCTGGTTTTGAGATGTGTGAACTCTGGGCTGTTCACATTTAATTCACACAAGTCGTGAACTGAGACGAAGATGTGGTGAACTACTAAAAAAGGATTTACACTGAAGCAAATTACTTGAAAATAAGTGTGTTTATCTGGTAGAGTTTGTGCAGACAGAGGATGGCACCGTCACCGAAGAAGGAAAATGTGACCCAAACCTTTTTTTTTTTTTGCCAAAGTGCCACTACATGTTGGACCTGCGTTTCATTTAACAAATGGGTCTATGTTGAAAAAAATATTTATGCCCAATCAATTGATAGGAGGGCCCAGTTTCACGCCCGTCTCTCCACCCACAATGGGTCGGGTACAACTAAGGACATATGTGGTAAAGATTTGAGAGAGCACAGAGACTTTGAAAGAGAGCAGAAGTTTTGATGCATAAGGACATGGAGGCAGAGGCAAGGAAAGGATGAGAATCGGTTAATAAAAATAATTATTTTAGCCAGAGCAGCTTATTTAGCCAAACTGTTTTTGTTTGTTAAATATCATTGAGGGGCACAGACAGACCTCCAGACAAACACCTAGAAATGTTAAAAAAGGAGAGAGAAAACAAATGAATTGAAAATGTCCAACTTTTTCAAACATTTTGGAGGCCAGTGTTGGAGAAAGTATTCCTGCAAGCTAAACATGTTTGTAAAGTTATTGAAGATAAAGGTACAGATGTTTTTTTTTTTTTTTTTAAAGCAGTGTGCATGGGTAACATTCAAAACACTGATTTTGTTGATTATTGGAAATGGAAGAAAATGCATCAGACAGAAGCATTACTGCATATGACATAGAAATACATATTTTTATTGAGCAATCCTGAAAAAGCATTATTATATAAATGCAAGACTTGCATTCAAAATTCAAAAATAACACCAGCAGATTTAATCTTCTTCCTTGAAGTAGTAACTTCCTGTAAAATATTGATATTGCTACAACATGCATCCGTTTAATGCCACTAAACAGACGGATCAGAGCAGAGGAGACATCATAACTGATTGTATAATGAATGTTAGATTGTTGGAAAGGATTTTTAAAAACTAATCATATTAATAGATTAATAGTTCAAATATTTTTACTTAAACGTTTCCACCAATTGCTGATTTTTCTACCAGTGATGTTTAGTTTTTTTAAATGGGTCAAGTTTCGTAAGGAATGTTTCTGATTATTAACATATACATGTACATACAAAATTAAACAATATGCTTGAAAAAGCCACTTCAAGCTGCGTCTATTTAATAACAGATCATAATGGCATATTGGTCTGTGCTATAAAGCAGTTAAAATGCTTGTTTAGATGATCTGTGTCATTTCTTTTTCACAGATCCAGTGCAGAGACTGAGAACATTGAAGGTCGTTCCACAAGTCATCAGTTCTGATGAGTGCACAGTCTTCCTCTACAGCTCCAGAGCCTTTACCGCCATTATCAGGCTGATTCTTCCACCAGAACCTGAACATTAAAGAAAAGAGAATCACCGTAATCACCTTATGTTATGAAGGAATAAAAACAAAGGAATTACTTTAGGGACACGCAGCATAAATAACAAAATACCTTTGTGTCTCCACCTAAAATCGTCTCAGTGTAGACAGACTCTAAGTCTTGGATGCGGTTGCTCGACCACAGAGAACCATTTCATGAAGCTACATGCTTCTGAGCTAATCTGAAGCTAATCAACATCGTCTTTTTGCATAGATGTTTGTCCCCACACATCTAAAGTATACTACTTTAGCTCATTCGTGTTGATTGTTGAACTAATTACTGGGGTTAATTCTTGGCTTTGTTAAAACTTTGCTCAGGAGTAAGATTTAAAGCTCTCAGTCTTAAACAACATGCTTGATTTGAAGCATATTTCTATCTCTGTCCAGTCTATTCTTATGGACTAAGAAAAATAAAGAGGGTAATAATCCGAAAATAAATATTAATAAAAATTTACAAATTTTTTATTGTCTTCGTGCGTCAAATATTCCTCAAAACAGAAGCCAAAGTGTAAACTAAGAAAAATCCATATTTTTTAACGTTCAACACTGAACCACAAAAGAAATAAAGGAATAAAACTTACGTCAGAGACGGAGAAGATCCATCAACCCACTGCCAGGTACCCTCAGTTTGTTTGTCATTCAAACCAATCCAAACTGAATCCTCAGTGTACGAAGCCACAAAGTTCTGCCAAATGTACAACAAATACATTTAGTTTGAACTACATTACATTACATGCTGTTTAGTGGTGAGCGTTTAATGCATAAATGGTACCTTTTCCCATCCTTT